ATGTCATGTGATGTAAGCATGTAATTATACCCATGGCACATCTGCAAATTTCTCATTACCAATTTGTAATGCAGACTTTCAGAAAGTATTAATGATTAGCAATCCTGGGGAATATGAATATGAATGAATATCTGTAAACCTATATAACTATATATCTGTAATCCTATACTCAATCAGGTTGTCTTTTCAGCAGACTCTATAGGATAGAAACATGAACAATACAAATGAAAATGTAAAGTAGCCTACTTTAGTAACTACAAAAAAGTCATACGCAAAAGTTTATTTCCGTTTCTTTTCTTACACATAGAATTTGAGATTAAATAGAGGTCTGATGCAATAGTGCTTCCTGTTCTGTTGGTTTCTACTCTGCATGAAAAAGGAACCTCTTCAAACAGAGATGCACACAGAATTCTGAAGCAAGAAACAATCAGTTAATGCCCAGATGTTTTACTACTGGAGTTAATTTAATGATATAACATTCTTTGAGATGTGTGTCTAATATGGAGACAAGATTAATACAGTAGTTACACTAGCAACAAAATTAGAAACATAGAGGAATATTGACAATAGCATAATTGTAAATACTGAGGATTGCGAAGAAAGTACATATCCAAAACAAGTGAAGAGGATGATATTGTATCCCAAAATGAATTTTTTTTTTTTTTAAATGCAGCACTTCTAAACTTGGAAAATTCTGAAGTAGCAAGCTTTTCTTGGAAACTAATTTAATCTGCAACATTTTTACAATTAGAAATATCATTCATTCCTTTCCATTTGCTTCCACAAACGTTTTATCATCCTTAAATTTAGACCCTTCTTTTTGAATCTACAAAAAAATCACGCCAGTTGCAAGAAATCAGAAAGATACAAGTAATGTCAAGTAAATTATATATGAATATGATTCTCATTATTTACTGCAATCTTTATAAATAGGTTTTTCTGACTCATATATGTTGCCTATTCATATTCATGGGGCTTTTTTAAAAACCATAAACACAACATTGGGGTTATATATCTGTGAAGATACTGACAGACTAAATACTAACATCTGTTCACATTTTGAAGAAGTTGGTTCAATTCACTGGACCTAATTATCCTTCCTGAATTCACTAAATATTCTCAGGTGGTGAATGCTGTGAGATATTTAACTCTTCCTTTTGAATCAATGAGACTTAAATTGCTTAATTTTGGCTGAATCATACATAATCATGACTGTTTATTGTATGAAATTTAAGGTTCAATTCCAGTAATTGCCCAAAATTGTCTTTATCGGTTCTAACTTACAAACATGAATATCTTTACCAAGGGGGATTTGATTCTCTAGTAGATCGCTCTTTTACAAGAAATGAACCCACTAATGCAATGTTGATTGTACAATACAAAACTATGCATTCAGGATAAGTGATCAGTAACATATAGCCAATACTCTTTTCAGTTCTTTTCAGCAGGAACCAACACCAACATAATATACAGTCGCCCGCCCAGACAACATATTAAAAACCAGTTGTCCAGCAATTCTAATGGGAGAAAACTCTGAACAATACTAAGATAATTGTTAGCATCTTGCAAGTACTAGGATTGTTGAATTCCCCAGTTCAAAGGGGAAAGGCGATTTGGAGCACAAATGGGTATGTACAATGCACCTGCTGTCATCTCCAGAAATCAAGCATTTTTTTCTGGGATCATGCAGCTACTTGCTTTTTAAGAAACTGCTGACAGGTATAACTTGAATTCTTTTGTACACTCCGAATCATCTTTTCCCCTTCAAATTGAGATCACTGCACAGCCCCAATGAGCCCTGCTTTGCTGTATGAATCTGATTATGTCAGTCAGTCATGGATGGTTAACAACTTAAACATGCAAGCATTATTAGATTATAATATCAGGGTTCTAAATCACAGGAAGAGCCTCCAGGAATAATGGAGTCCTTCTGGTGCAGTCAATTTTCATATAACAAGACAGTAAGTTGAATGATAGAGGAACAACTAATCCCCCTTTCTCTTTGGATGTAGAAACTAAAAGCATTTGAACGTCTGAAGAAACTCTAGTGTGGTTTTATGGCCAAAGTATATACAACATTTATATAGGTTCTACCCCTTTTTCATAAAATTTAGAGCCAAACTACATATTAAAAAATTATATGAGCAAATTATCATAATTGCAACAAAGGTACAAATGATTAAATAGTATCATTAGCATTTTTTAAAAAAAAGAATATGAAGAAATATCTTACATCACTTTTAATCTAGTTCTTAATGCTATCTTATCAAGATCTATAGAAAATGATTAGTCTAAGTTACAGGGGGAAAATGAAAGAACCAGATTCTATTTACCTTTTCCACAAATTATTCACCCAAGACATGAGAGATGAATACCTGAGTAACTCTGCTCAAATCTAAACTACATCATGGGTGATTTCACCCACTGTCTAAGTTATGATTTGTTTTAATCATGGTAGACTAGTTTGCTGGTTTGTATGACCAGCAATCTCTAGATTAAGCACATCATCTAAACTGGGTTCATGGCTGAAATTGTGTTTAAAAAACAGACCCCTGATCATGTTTTAGATGCAGCTTGTTATGCTTGATCTGATCATAACTCCTTGTGTCATCTGGAATGGAATAAAGCTTCTCCATTATTTCTCAAGTGTTTTTTCTCCACTAAAACAAACCAAAGCAAAAAACAACATCAAGGAGTTTTGTGAACAATTAGGATTCTCCCACCAGCAACTATCTCTACATGCTTCAGTTAGCTCAATGTTTACACAACAGGCTTTACTCTCAACTCAATTTTCTGAGATTGCATGACATACTGAACCATAATGTATGTTCACATAAAATACAAAGCTAAGGTGTGATTAGCTAGTTAGTAGTCCAATGTGTCATTGGAATACAGTGAATAAGTAGTAACTGACTCAAATCAGACTGTCATGCCTCTTTTGTTTCTTTTTTTGCAAAACTAAAATCCAGATGCACCAGCCACCTGCTACAAAGATGGACAGGGTTAGGGTGAGAACCAACCAACCATTGGAGCATCTTGCCATGCTGTCTAGAACAACTTCCATAGGTGAATAACTTAACCACTGGCAATGCTAAGCACAATTTAGCATTTTAAATGTAATGTTAAATGTACCTAGGCCATAACCCTAGTCTCATATGTCATGCTAAACCAAACCAAATTACATTATGCCAATGTGAACTCATGAATTATTTTTATGCAGTTTTGCAAAGAAGTAAGTCTCAGTTAATTCCTTGGAATTTGTTTTAACTAACCATGTGCAAGATCAGACTGCCAGTTAAGCTGACTGAGAGCTCTTTTTTGACTAAAAAGTACAATTACATTGTCACCTGATTTGCATTTTAAGCAGCTTTGCTCTTTTGTTATGCTTCCCAAATCGAACTTTAGCATTACCATTATCTTATTATGTGAATACATTTTTAATTATAATTAACTTTTTTATAATTAATGTATTCGTTAAATCTTGGTCTAGCACAGCTCCCAAGACAGAAAGAAATGTGATAAGGATAGCAATATATTCATTTCTGTTACATATCTGACACTGAATAGAAAATACATGAATTATGAGAGAATGTTCATTCATCTTTATGGACTCTGTACTTATTAAGCTATGACAGATCCTGGAAATTTCACAGTTAATTGGATAATTCAAAATATTATCTTTCTGAGTAAGAATTAAGTAATACACACACTATCATAGCTGCACATTCTATATAGTTAAGGCCATATCCTAAACCCAAATAAGTCACTGTGAATACTTAGGACTACACTATGCTATAGTCACACACTAAATTTCAGTCATACAAACCTCACCTGGCTATATAGTAACTGAACACAATCGGGCTTACTTCTTGTGAAATCTGCACATAATTGTATTGATATTTCAAGTACCCTTCATAATCACCAATAAAACTTTCAGGGTGATACACAGAAATTCCTTTAATATCAGAGAAAAGTTATTTTTACTGTTAATATATATGATTCTCATAATACCCAATTTAAATGTTGATTCTTATATTTATTATTGGAAATTGACTTGGACAGCAGCATGTAAATATCTTAATAAAATGCATGAAAAGATCAAAAAGTGGACCAGATAGAGTAGTATAATTTTTTTTGGAAATAATCTGGATTTTTCCTTGTCTGAGTGCAAGAAGATCATAGTCCTAAGAATAGGGAAAGGTGTTTTCTTTTATAATTAAGAAAATTGATTATTAACTACCCTGGCTTTTATTTCAGACTTTCAACAGAACTGTCCATGTCTCTTGTTCTGTACTAAAAAAACAGAGTAATAAGCACAGGAAAGACATGAAGAAGAAAGAATCAACCAGTTATACCATCGTTAAGACTTGACAGTATTGCCTTTTATCCTAACTACAGAAGCAGCGACTTGTATGATTTCATTATTATTCTAGATAGATCTCACTTTCAACAGCAGGTCATCCTAGGCTCTTAAATAAACCAATATATCACCACATGTAATTTACTGTTCCAGAAAGTTTTGAATTCTGATGAGGCCACACCTTACATATTCCTACTCAGTAGTATTCTGGTACTCATGCTGAGGAAACATAAAACTTTTAACACCCCATAAGCTCTGAAACTCGGAACTGAGGAACCCCGAATGGTGAGTGAAAACATCTCTGGTTCAAACCACTGCCACAAAAAAAAAAAAAAAAAAAATTTCCCCATTTATGGGCCCCCAATTCCGAATATTGGAAGCAAGGTGTGTGTTTCCTCCCGTGTTCGACAGTACAGTAAGAGTTATTCTACTGGACCCCCACTTACCCCTCCTCCTTTAACAGTATCTTGCCAATTAACTTCTCGGCGCTAGTCAAGAGAGAAGTTTTTTTCGAGGGATGATCTAAAGCCAAGCTTCTTTTTCCACGTGTTGCGCAAAGCAATAGCTGCACCTGCGCCATGCGCCTCCGCTTAGGAGGCCCAGCGCACTCAAATCCGTCTTCCTCCCCTCCCTCGCTTACCAACGGTAGCAGCCTTCGCTTGCCTCCAGGGTGAAGTTAATCCTTGTGCTCCGAGAGAACGGTAACAACACTTTAGGGATGTTTAGTTTGGAAGGCACCACAGCATAGGGCACGAGGAAAAGGAGCCAAAACGACGCTCCCGGCGCAGAGATGGCGGGTGTCATCCTGCTGGGAAGCTGCTACGGAATCACCTTCACCTGTCTCGAGACAGCGAGTCCGGCGCCTTTCTCCAGGGAGCGCGCTCTCCCTTCTTGAGCCGAAGGAGAAAAGGCAAGACGCTTAAGGTGCAGCGCTCGCTCCCACGGGGTCCTCGCAGGAATTGCCCGCCTCGAGTTGTTATTTGAGGGACGTCACAGCGCGGGCAAACCAAAGCGCGAACCCCGACTTAGGGGCGGAGTAAGAAGGACCTTGGCTATGAAACGGGAGAACGAAAGCAGCTGTGCCAGGCTGACTTCGCCTAGCAGCCGCCGGGGGCACTACAGGCGCCCTTCCGGACCTCATGGGGAAGAAGTTTTTATTTATTTTCAGCACCGCCAATGAAGCGGCCCTTGGGGCTTACTTTTGGCAGGGAGCGTAGAAGAAAGCTGTCGAAACAGTTTCCCTGGGCCTCCCGTGCCATGACTTTTGCTTAAAGGGATCAGCGCCAAAGTTGGTACAATGTATCAGTGCTGAAACTCTGCCTTGGATTGATTTTTTTTTTTAAGTGGTTAAGCCTATCTGAATGGTGTGATTTAATTTTTCGTAACCAATTGCCCACAGCTGTCACTATTATTTCCCGGTAATACTGAACTGTAATCTTAATGTGTTTAATTCTGGCTTCATGTGTTGTGATTTATAAACCATGGTTTATGGTAAGGATAGGCAAATTGCAGTGGCCAGACCAAATCCCCCCCCCTTTTTTTTGGTGCAGCCTTCCCAATGCACCCTAACTACACTATTGAATTTTGATAGCAAAAATTGGTGGCAGGTTAAATAAGATAGTTTTCAGCTCCCCTTCCCTTCCCCACAAATAGAAATAATGGAAAAAATGTCCTATTCTTCCTCCTTTGCATTTTTGTGTTGCTCTTGCTTCCCTAAAATACTAAATGCGACCCTAATAAAATTGCCCATCTTTGGCTTATATTTTATGATTCTTGCCCATTTTGGCTTATTCAGCAAAACATGATTTAGCAAAATCTGTCCACCTAGCCACTGCTAGGTACTGCCTTGTAGTCAGTTAAAGGGACCATAAAGGAACAGGGATACTGGATAAATGAACAGTTGTGGCAGAAGATAACTAAGGAATTCAGATATAGGCTAAAATGTGCCTCAGAACCTGGTGCATGGTAGTGATCTGTTTCTGATGCATCTCATCAGAGCTCTTGAAGTTCTTCAGAGTAGTAAAAAAAATCCTATTATACCTTGATCCATATGGAAGATGAAACACTTGATGATTCATTGTGACCTATTTGCAAAGCACTTTGTTGATAAGTATTTTTGCATCAGAATATGGGATCTTCTAGTGTCAGTAAGGCAAAGTTGAACAAATCCAACTGTCTTCACAATATCAAACCATTTCCAAGTAGTTTCAAATATACCATTCAGGGCTGAGATGTTGACTGAGGAATAGATTCTCAAATCCCCAATCACTCTGGATGATATGGGTTATTTCTGTTTAGGGATGTGTAGCCCATGGGTGACATGAAAACACAGCTGCTGAAATTCATTGGCAGATTGCTAAGGAGGGAGATATAGTTTTTAAAGCATTAGTCTGAAATAGGCATGCTATGAATCTAGTGCGCTTTTTTTTTGCTGGACCCCCTCCTTGAGAATTGAAATGACATCCCTTGTCACTTCCCTTGTCATGTTCACTTCAGCCCATAGAGATAGGAAAACATTTTAAAAGTGTAATCTCTCCCGCATCCTAGATCCATTTCGATCTATCTTCAGCACTAATTTGTTGATTGAGGGGTTTGCTCAAACATCAAACAAAGTTAACTTTCAGGATTGCCAGATAGTGTTGGGAATATACTGTACTATTTAATGGTGGCCCCATTATTTCCTAAGTTCTAGCACTGGAGTATTTCTGTTTCTCCTACAATATGCTCCAGCAGATTTCCACTAGTGACATCTTCTAGACATCTTTTCAAAACATGAAGCAAGCAACATAAATATAAGTTTTGCTGTGTAAGGAAGAAAAGATGTAATTCATGTGTGTGTGCACACACATACATGAACATATCATATCATAATCCACATCATTCCATATTTGTAGTGTGCTTCAGAACTCTATCCACTCTCCATTTTTGTTTAACATCTACATGAAGCTACTGGGGAAGGTCATTCATCAGTATAGTGTTCAGTTTCATCAGTACACTGATGATACTCAGTTGTATATCTTTGCCCCTGACTGATCAAGTAATGTTATTGAGTTTTTGTCACAGGGTCTGGGGGCTGTGAGGTCTGAATGAGGGGATACTGAAATACTGGAAGTCTGCACGCTGGAGGGCATTCAGGTTGGGGAATGTTGGAAAGGAGTTTTTTTCCAAATGGATAGTTGAAGGTTATTATATTGTACAAAGTAGCACGATTAATGTCTGATAGTGACTATAATCCCTTGAGAAAGTCTGGGAGGCTAGAAATAAAAATCCTAATAACAATTTTCCTTTCCAGAGAAATTTTAATTTGTATCATGAAGATTTATAAAATATGTACGATTGATGCTTACAAAAAGTTCCAGACTTCATTATATCAGCACTGAAAAGTGCCAGCAGAATGAAAAAAACCAAGCTATTATTATTAGAATTTGATTGTAGGCAAGGGACTCCAGTACTTCATTAGAAAACATGAAGCAAGCAACATAAATATAAGTTTTGCTGTGTAAGGAAGAAAAGATGTAATTCACACAGCAAATGGAACTGCATAAATCAGGGCTTTGAAAATCGAATGAGTTGAACTGCCAAATAACTAACCCAATAGTTACCCAGGGGCAGCATGTATAATTTTACCTGAAAATGTTAATATCTTGCACTCCTCATTGTATAATATCATACTCGTAGGCCAGACCAGACAAGCCTTCTCTACCCAAACGTGTGATGACGTGAAAAAAAATATTGCTAAGAGACATCTCCTTTGCTTCAGTACAGGGATGCACAATTTTCCTCCACATTATTGAAAGGGTTTGGTTTGTTTTTTGGTTGGCTGCACTTTTTCCTTTTTTTACTCAAAATAGTAAAACTAATAGTTGTAGTTTGGAAATAGTTTCCAAAGTGTATCCTTTGAGGCTTATTTTCTTGGGAAAAGCCAACAAAATAACATGGTTTTATTGGTGAAATTTAGCTGCACAATTTTGGGGCTTCAAAAATGGGATTGAGGCTTGCGTGTAGTCCATAGGCTAAGGATTGCTTATCCCTGTTTTACTAAGAAAACTTGCTTCCTACCATAATCTAGAATATAGTTTACTCTTTGCGGAGTTTTATAACAGTTCAGCTGGCTTTAAATTATCAGCATTCTTTAACACAGAATAGTGGAGATATTGGAGTCTGAAATTTGATAAAAATATGTTAAATAATTCTACAGTATTTATTTACACATTCCATTTTTAATTTTTGCAAGCAGTCCTGATCAGCCCTTAGGATGCCTTTACACGAACAAATGTAATATGTGCCATTCAATTACAACCATTTGTAGTTTGTGGAAAAAAATGCTGTTTCACTCAGAAGTTTTTGTAGGCCTCATCTGTGATTATAGAGATACCATGGTAGTACATATCTGAGAGCTGCTCTTCCAAAGAAAAATAATAATTGTTCAATTTTAGCAAAAATGTTTTCATATGAAAGTGGCTTATGCACAAGTCTTCTTGCCCAGTTAAATTGCAAATTAAGAAAATTGAATTAAACCCTGAAGTTCATCTGGTGGAAAGTGGATGGCTCCGAATTGTACAGATCTGTTCAGGGAGTACACATCTCCATTGCTACATATCTGATAGTGGAATTGTACTGATGCACTTTTGAAATACAGTTTTATATCCTTGGCATTATTCATGAAACTGAAGGCCAAGTGAATATTCCATACTGGCTCATCAGCTGCCCAATGGTGGATGTAGTTTGCTAGTAACAAGTGACTTGTATCAACCTGATAAATCAAGATAAATCAAGACCTCTCTTACAAATCAGGGCACATGTCAGTGTGACTATTACCCATGTACCTGTTAGTGCCACATGTTCAGTACAGGTAGTCCTCACTTAATGACCATTCATTTAATGATGGTTCAAACTTATGATGGCCTTGGAAAAAGTGCTTTACAACCTGTACTTGCACTTACAACCATTGCAAACTGTCGCACCACGCCCCATTGTCATGATTGTGATTTGCAATGGACCCTATTTTACGACCATTTTTATGACAGTTGTTAAGCAAATTATGTTCATTAAGCGAATTGTGATCATTATGTGAATCCTGGCAAAAAAGTCCATTGGGGAAGCTGGATTCACTTAACAATGGATGGTGATTCATTTAACGACCATCATGAAAATGGTTGTAAAATAGGGTCCAGTGACTCACTTAATAGCTACCGTGTTTGGCAACCAATTTTCTGGTCCCTATTGTGGACATTAAGTGAGGACTACCTGTATCCTCATGCTTTCCTTCCCAATAATTACAGTATGATTGTCTTGTTGATGACAATGACAATATCTTCAAATTGGGGATAAGCTGGTTTCAGAACATCTCATTTAGGGAGGATTTGAATTGCAACATCTTGGTACCACATCCTGTGCTGTGGAACTAGCTGGAATAATAATGATAACTTGGGCAAGGACAGCCAAACTGGGGAGATAACACTCTACTAATCTGCTATTTTAAGCAACTGACTTGCTTTCAAGGACAAACCTTCCATTAATAGTTGTAGCAGCAGTAGAAGCCAGGCATGGCAAGCAGGATCAGTCGAGTACTGGTCTTTTGTTATTTAACTCATCTCTTTTCTTCCCCAACATGCTGTGGTGGATTGGAACTAATCAGAATAGAATTTGTCCTTCTGGAGGCCCATTCAGTGGTTTCCTGATATGAGAAGTCAGATGTTTAAATCCTTGCCTAAGGCAGGAACTGAAGTACCTTCTCTTTGCTAATATTTCTCTTCTAGTGCTATGTAGAGACACATATATAATGCAGAGAGGAATTTTCCAACAGAAAATCAGTGAATGTAGAAACAAATGGCATATCAGCAAGGAGTCATGGGCCAAGCTTCCCCAAATTGATGCATTCCTGATATGCTGGACTTCCACACATATCATTCTTAGCCAGAATGGCCAGAGAGAAGATCAGACTAATGTGAATTTCTCCTTTGGTCCTGAGAAAAGCTGGTAACTCTAACTCAGACATAAGACATAAACT